AACCAACAAGCAGAAAGCAACAGCATCAACACCAACAAACAAAAAAGACTCCCGCCCAACACAAACCCCATCCAAAGGTCATCAGCCTCAAAGATCCAAGTTAGATAAATCCACAAAGATGAGGAAAAACCAGCACAAAAATGCTGAAAATTCCAAAACACAGAATGTCTCTTCTCCAGAGGATTGTAACTCCTCTCCAGGGCACAACACTGGACAGAGAATGTGAGTTTGACAAATTTACACAAGTAGGCTTCAGAAGGTAGATAATAACAAACTCCTCTGAGCTAGAGGAGCATGTTCTAACCCAATGCAAGGAACCTCAGAACCTTGACAAAAAGTTACAGGAACTGCTAACTAGAATGAGCAGTTTAGAGAGGAACATAAGTGACCTGATGGAGCTGAAAAACACAGCACAAGAACTTTGTGAAGCATACACAAGTATCAATAGCCAAATTGATCAAACAGAATAAAGGATATCAGAGATTGAGGATCAACTTACTGAAATAAGGTGTGAAAACAAGATTAGGAAAAAATACCGAAAAGGAATGAACAAAGCCTCCAGGAAATATGGGACTATGTGAAAAGACCAAACCTATGTTTGATGGAGTACCTGAGAGTGACAGGGAGCGTGGAACCCAGCTGGAAAACGCACTTCAAGGTGTTATCCAGGAGAACTTCCCCAACCTAGCAAAACAAGCCAACATTCAAATTCAGGAAATACAGAGAATGACACTAAGATACTTCTTGAGAAGAGCAATCCCAAGACACATAATTGTCAGATTCTCCAAGGTTGAAACGAAGGAAAAAATGTTAAGGGCAGCCAGAGAGAAAGGTCAGGTTACCTACAAAGGGAAATCCATCAGACTAACAGCGTCTCTCTCTGCAGAAACCCTACAGGCCAGAAGAGAGTGGGGGCCAATATTCAACATTCTTAAAGAAAATAATTTACAACCCAGAATTTCATATCCAGCCAATTAAGCTTCATAAGCAAAGAATAAATAAAATCCTTTACAGACAAGCAAATACTTAGGGATTTGGTCACCACTGGGCCTACCTTACAAGAGCTCCTAAAGGAAGCGCTAAATATGGAAAGGAAAAACTGGTACCAGCCACTGCAAAAACACACCAAAATGTAAAGACCGATGACACTATGAAGAAACTGCATCAGCTAATGTGAAAAATAACCAGTTAGTATCATAATGGCAGGATCAAATTCACATATAACGATATTAACCTTAAATGTAAATGGGCTAAATGCCCCAATTAAAAGATACAGAATGGCAAATTGGATAAAGAGTCAAGACCCATAGGTGTGCTGTATTCAGATGACCCACCTATGTGCAAAGACACACATAGGCTCAAAATAAAGGGATGGAGAAATGTTTACCAGGCAAACGGAAAGCAAAAAAAGGAAGGGGTTGTAATCCTAGTCTCTGATAAAACAGACTTTAAACCAACAAAGATAAAAAAATGACAAAGAAGGGCATTATATAATGGTAAAGGATCAATACAACAAGAAGAGCTTACTATCCTAAATATATATGCACCCAATACAGGAGAACCCAGATTCATAAAACAAGTTCTTAAACACCTACAAAGAGACTTAGACTCCCACACAATAACAGTGGGAGACTTTAACACCTCACTGTCAATATTAGACAGTCACTGAGACAGAAAATTGACAAGGATATTCAGGACTTGAACTCAGCTCTGGACCAAGTGGACCTAATAGACATCTACAGAATTATCCACCCCAAACCAATGGAATATACATTCTTCTCAGCACCACCTAGCACTTATTCTAAAATTGACCACATAATTGGAAGTAAAACACTCCTCAGCAAATGCAAAAGAATGTAAGTCATAACAAACAGTATCTCAGATCACAGAGCAATCAAATTAGAACTCAGGATTGGGCCGGGCTCGGTGGTTTACGCCTGTAATCCCAGCACTTTGGGGGGCCGAGGTGGGCAGATCACTGGAGGTCAGGAGTTTGAGACCAGCCTGGCCAACATAGTGAAACCTCATCTCTAAAAATAATAAATAAATAAATAGAAAGAACTCAGGATTAAGAAACTCTCTCAAAACTACACAACTACGTGGAAACTGAACAACCTGCTCCTGAATGACTACTGGGTAAATAGCAAAATTAAGGCAGAAGTAAAGAAATTCTGTCCAGGCATGGTGGCTCACACCTGTAATCCTAATATTTTGGGAAGCCAAGGCAGGTGATCACTTGAGGTCAGGGGTTCAAGACCAGCCCAGCCAACATGCTGAAACCCTGTCTCTACTTAAAATACAAAACTTAGCTGGGTGTCGTGGCTCATGCCTGTAATCCCAGCTACTCGGGAGGCTGAGGCATGAGAACTGCTTGAACCTGGGAGGCGGAAGTTGCAGTGATCTGAGAACACATGGACACAGGGAGGGGAACATCACAGACTTGGGCCTGTTAGTGAGTGGGGGAAGGAGAGGGAGAGCATTAGGACAAATACCTAATGCCTACGGGGCTTAAAACTTAGATGACGGGTTGACGGGTGCAGCAAACCACTATGGCACATGTATACCTATGTAACAAACCTACATGTTCTGCACATGTATTCCAGAAGTTAAAATTAAAAAAGAAAATTGGCTGGGAGTGGTGGCTCATGCCTGTAAGCCCAGCACTTTGGGAGGCCAAGGCAGGTAGACCACCTGAGGTCAGGAGTTCGAGGCCAGTCTGGTCAACACAGTGAAACCCCGTCTCCACTAAAAATACAAAAATTAGCTGGGCATGGTGCCCGATGCCTGCAGTTCCAGCTACTCGGGAGGCTGAAGCAGGAGAATGGCTTGAACCCAGGAGGCAGAGGTTGCAGTGAGCTGAGATCTCACCACTGCACTCCAGCCTGGGTGACCCAGCAAACTTTGTTGGGGTGGGGCGGGGGGCAGCGAGAAAAATACAGGTAGTAAGGAAAGGAAGTAAGATGGTGAGCTGCTGTGCTAGATAATTAACAAAAAATTGAGGAGGGGAGAGAGAGAGAGAAAGGGAAAT